GCCGCTCCGAGGCTGGAAAAAAAAAAAAAAAAACAGCCCCATGGTTGGGCCACGGCAGAGATGTCTCGGCCACACCCCAGACTGGCCACGACCGAGATGTCTAGGCCACACCCCAGATTGGCCAGGGCCGAGATGTCTTGGCCACAGCAGAGATTTGCAGGCACTACCCTTCACAGCAAACGCGAAGTTTCAAGAGTAGCCTACTCCGAAAAGTGGGGGCCTCGGGGCATGGAGGCCAAAAAAAGAAAAGAGAAAATAAAAAAGTAAAGAAACGAGGAACTTCGAATCCACCTACGTCGGGAAGGCCCTCAGGTCACCAGTGCTTTGACGAATGTATCTGGCCAGGAAGTGAGGAACATGAAACAGGTCGTTTTCCTTTTTTGTTTCTTGTTGTGAGGTCCCTGTAGCGCCCTGCCAGCCAGGCAGGGCGGATTCCACGCTTCAGGTCCCGTACGGGGTCCGAACCCGACGGCGTTCGGCCCCCACCAAAAAATATTTCGGGGCCTAAAAATAATTAAATTTTTCTGAATTTTGTTTTGTGAGTTCTCTATGACGTCAGGTACATGCCAGTAAATTTTCAAGTTATTTGGCTAAGCCAAATAAGAATTAAAAATCGCCAAAGCTGGCGGTGTCAAAACGTGCTCGCCCACGTATTGTTTCACTTTTTACTTTTTGTTTTCAGTTTAGTTCGGGATCTAAACAGTTTTTTTATTTTTTGAAACTTTTTAAGTGGGTTTTGTATTATGTGAAGTACACATCTGTAAATTTTCAGGGCATTTGGCTATGCCAAAAAACAATGAAAAATCGCCAAAGATGGCGGTGTCGAAAACATGCTCACGCACTCACTAAATTTAATTCTCTTTTTATTTTTATTTATTTTTATTATTAGTATTTGTTTTCCGTTTTTTATTTTTATTTCCAATTTGGTAAGGAATTCGGATGTAATGCTCAGGAAAATCTTGTTTAATTTATTTTTCTCCATAACGTATCTTTTTTTCAGATTTTTTTGATGAACTTTTTTTTTTTTTTTTTTGGGTAACTTCGGCGCAGTCACGAAAGCAGTTTGTAATTGCATTGGAAACTGCGTTTTAGCAGTTTAGTCAGGGCCCGAGTTTCAATTGCAGTTGAAACTCAGGCTGCGTTTCTGTAGCAGTTCAGTCAGGGCCCTCGTCTATCCACGAACAGCAGATAAAAAAATAAAAATAAAAAAAACATCCCTTATGCTGGGATTGCGGTCCGATACAGGATGCTACAGTAGCCCATGCGATATCCCTCTATCCTGGCAGTGGTAAGAGAACCGCCAGAATTGAGAACATACCTATCGGGCTGCTCCATCTATTGGTGGGGAAAACGGCCCATGCGATATCCCTCTATCCTGGCAGCCTGTGGCAGTGGTAAGAGAACCGCCAGAATTGAGAAAATACCTATCCGGCTGCTCCATCTATTGGTGGGGAGCGTCACAAATAACATTTTGTTTTAATTAAAAACAAAAAGAACAAAATGGAACCAGCCAAAATGAGCATTTTTCTTAGATCCGACTGATTATTCTGGCTGATTGGCAAAAGAGAGGTCCACTGTGGTTTTTGCGTACATGTGCGTTAAACGGTCAGTTGGCTTCTGTTTCCCAGGAAGGGAATCTAATTATTAGCCCATGGCTGCTTCCTTGGTCTAAAGGACAGGTTACGTTTTAGATGGAATAGTGGTATGGCCGTTGCCACCCAGTCGTGGCCTTTTCTTCTGTGGTTTTAGACAGAACCTAGAATTCTGTTGTGGAACTGTGTTCGGATTTCTGTAGGGAGAGTAAGGATGCGTTTTGAGATACAAGGGACAAGTTAGACCGTTTTTGGATGTAAGTTGGTATAGGGTTACTGGGTGGAGTGTTCAAATGTTCAAATGATTCCGTGCTTCAAGTTCAATTTGGAAGAGTTGTCAGTTGAGAAGTATCAGGGACGCTGGACCCAGTTTCCAGCACAAGCCTAAGCTGGGTAATGGCCCCAGTTTTTCCTCCGGGTTGTTTGTTGAGGTTTTCCCGGCCTCTATTTCCAGTTATAATATAATGCCACAATTCTTCCGAGGAAAAAAAAAAAAAAAAAAAAGAGCATTTTTGTTTGTTGTTTTGTAGGGTAAAGTTCAAGTGACCAGTGTGGGTCATGTTCACGGTGAAGGCACTGGTGGAGAGGCCCTCAATTAGGTTATAGAAAACCCGCATTAAATCTTATTGAGAAAACTAGGGCGCAGTCATGGTTTGAGTATCTAAATACATTTCAAACTGTCGTTTTTAATTCCAGTCCCGTGGGGAGTTTACTATGCAGTCAAAACTCCGCTTTGCAGAAAAGTCGCACAGCGGAGTTTGGAACT